GGCAGGGGTGCAGTCCCTGTCCCTAGAGGAATTTAAAAGCTGTATGGATGTGGCACTTTCCAACAGGGTGAGTGGTGGCCTTGGTAGTGGAGGAATGGCTGAAATCAGTGATCTGCGAGCACTTTTCCAACCTCAGTTACTGTGTTGAGAGAAGTGCTGCTTCTATACGAAGTATCTTGATTCCTATTATTCTTTTGTGTTTTTGTAAATTGCTGGTCTACTGCCTGGGGAGTTACCTGGCAGGAATTTGTAGTTAGGTCTTGTCCTGCATCGTGTTGTTTAGCCAGAATTGTCAGAGTGCTTTTGGAGAGGCTGGATGGCTGCTGGGTACATTCTACAGCCTGTAGGGTGGTGGTGTGACACAAACAGTGTGACACCACGCAGTGGTTCCAAAATTGCCCCTTTCCTGTAGAGCAGATGCAGCTCTGGGTGGCAGGAGGGGCCTGGGCTCTGTGCAGGGCTCAGCTGTGCAGGTCAGCACAGAGCAGCACCCATGGGAGGTGACGGGGACACATACTGTCGGTGCCTAAAGGATGTGTCAGCTTTTAGCTCTGGTCTCAGCACAGCATCTCCTGAACTGGTGCAGTAAAGTTACGTGTGAGGGAGGACTTCAACACGTGGAGGACTTTTAACCCTGTTTGCAAATGGTCCAGATGTGTCCATTGGGTTAACAGACTAACTTCTTGCTGATTTGTTTGATCTCGTTGTTTGTTGTAGCATGTCAGTAAGAACCAATTACTATACTGCTGATGATCATGTGAAAAACGAGGTTCACATAATTTTTATAGAATTTAAAAGTTTAATGAAAAAACAATTAGGAGAAAAAAATAAAGTATACAGATACGGCCGGGTGTGTCTGCATTCAGCCAAGAGAGCACACCTTACTGACAAAGGATTGTCCCTTAAAAACAGAATCCTACTAAATATCCATAAATTCTCATACATATTCAGACATTCTTCTTAGGATCTTCTTCTGTTTAGTTTTCTCTTGCCCCCTTCCCAATAGATCAATCTTCTTGGTGTCATTGAGATTTACATTCCCTGATACCAGAAATGCAATAAATTCCTCTCCCCCGAGTTCTGGTCACTGCTGTCTTCATCTGGATAAGAGAGTTTACAAAAGGAAAAAAAAAAGAGTCTCCAGCTATCTTTTTCAGTCTTTGGGTTACACAAACAAAAGTAGTTTTTGTTTTAATGCTATGTCATAGCTTAACATATATGTATTATACCACTATTTCTAAGTTTCATTAATAACAGAAATAAAGAAGACTATATTATTACAGCTAAATTTTCTAATCTTATACATATAATATTCATTATAATACTTGCGAAAAGCCAATAATATGATATGCATTTATAACAGATTGTCTTTTCCTTACAATTTAGTTGCTGCATGAGGTGGATTGTACAGCCATAGCAATAATCAATACCTTCCTTTCCTTGTCACTGTTAAATTGCACTGGTTATTTTAATTTTCTTGTTGAATTAAAGCCTTTCAAGGCTTTCATTTTACTACCATGACTGTAATTGCCAAGGCCAGTATGTCAGTTTCATTAAAATATGAAGTAGGATTGTTTCTTTGCTTTGTTGGGTTTCTTTTCCCTTTTTCTGCAGTGGACCTGGTATTCTTTGTTGTGTTTCATTCTGGATTAGCCTCAGATCCCAGAGACCCCTTTTTGTTCAGTTTCTGTTGGTAAATTTGCTGGTTTTTGTTTCCCCACAGCTCAGGGGGGTTCAAGGGGAAGTTGAGCTTCTCATGGCCACTCTGGGGTCTCTTATCTCTAGTCCCAAGCATTTGCCAGGTGGTTGGGCAGAGCTTTCACCATTCTCTGGCTTAAACAAGTGTCCAGGGAAACTGGTTTAATATATTCATAATATATTCATGAACCAGATCTGGGGCTTCTTGTGAGGGTCTGGCCTGGTGTGCTGCCACTTCCCCCTTTTTTTTCAGTGTGCAAGTCCATTCTGTACTGATACTCTAGTTATTGTGGACTTTTCCCCAGTTTTTATATCTTTTTTTTTTCCTAGATTGTAAATCATCACTTGTGATTTAGGCTGGTTTTATTTTATGTTTAATTGACAGATCATGTGAATTACAGAGTGTCTCTCCAAAAGCCTGTGTTCTTTCAGCAACAGATACACAGATATTTGAGACCTATCGAAAAAAATATGCATTGGACAATGGAATAACCTTCCAAAGGGAAATTTAGCTTCCGGACTTTTTTTTTTCCTTAGATGTTGTGCCACTCCACCCATACTCCTTTAAGTAATTCACTTGAAATTCTTTTTGAATTTCCTTGCCTCTTGCTTACCTGGACTCAGAGCTGTGTTGGTGCTTCTGTAGTGTGGAGCTGCTTCCTCTGCTGTGCTGCAGAAATTCAGGCTAAGCTGGGTTCAGGTCGCTTCCTCCCTTGGAGTGTAAAAGCTGCCTCGTCTGGGGGCTGTCTGGGACACACACCAGAGTAATACATTATCTCAGTGCTTTCATGAGGGTTTAGGATTCTGCTTTGCCGAGCACAGAAAGGGATTTGGCAAGCAGGAGAAATCTGCTATTGCCTCTCAGTTGTCTGTCTGCATTTTTCCCCTTTTACTCTTCTTCCCAAGCTGTCAAATCTTGTGAGAAACAGAATTGCAATGGATGATGTCAGCTGGGTTTGGTGTCTTGAGTCATATCTGGTGCTCTGGAATATTGCCTATGAGTCATGGAACGCTCGGGGAGCTTGGCCAGAGGTGGGAGATGGGACAAGTCCACAGCCCCAGCTGCAGGCAGCAAGTGAGATGAAGAAAGAGAATCCAAAGGGATGCAGGGGCACCGGGTGTCAGTGTGGTGACTGTTACTTTGTCCTTGCAGTGCTCACACACACCTGCCTTTCTGCTGTCTTGGGCTTCTTTTAACTTCCCTGAAGTTAAAGCCTTTGGCCATTCAGCTTTAGTAATTGTACTGGGTGATTTTATGCTGCTGTCATCCCTAAGATGCTGCTTTTTCTAAAATTTGAAGGAATTAAATATTATTAATTTAATTAATTATTTTTATTCCTTCAGCTTTCTTTAATGATGAAACATAACAGGCCTGGCCTGTTGGTATCAGTATGTTAATACGTACATACATATATATCTATATATCTATATCTATATCTATATATATATATATATATATATAGGTATAGATATAAAGTCAAGTCAATCAATGTGAACACCTTCCTAGACCAAATCTCAGTCCTTTCACCCCTCAGTTATGTAGGTGGCTCAAGTAGAAGGAAGTGGGGTGGTTCATACTTGGCTGTCACCTCCTGTGATGATTTTCCATAGCTGTCCTCTGTAGCTCCAGATCTCCTTATGTAATTATGGCCTGTATCCCTTATTCCTGCCTGTGCCACACCTTGCAGCTAGCTGGTTGTGTCATACTCGTTTACTCCTGAGTTGCCAGAGAAGTCTGTATCACTCTGTTTTTACCATGCTTGGCATCATTTGTCTCTGCAGTGTGTCACCTGCAGTGTCAGAGTATTAAATGTCATTGGGCCTGTTCAGATTCCCTTGGGAGATCATGAAGAATCCCACCTGCATTGGTGGCCTGTCTGTATTATCATTCTGTGCTGTGGAAGGAGTAGAATGGGATACAGTAACTCAGCTGTAATGATGAAGTCAGGTAAATTTGATCATGTGAAAATGGCTGCCAAGGGAGAAGGGATTTCTGAGGGACCTCTTGCATAAGGTAAGATGTTTCCAGCAATAGGATGCTGATGGAATCCCTAGTGAGGGAAGAGAAGGAGACACAATATGAGAAGGAGGAGCTGTGAAATGGCCAGGTTTTGGAAGTGATAGAAGTAAAAAAATAAGTGGATTTGTGAGGCAAATCTGTGTTAATGATTACCTTAGGGGGAAATTGGATCAGCTGAAAGCTGCCAAGCCTGGTAATCACCACCAACCCTGTCTGAGTTCAAGGAGTGTTTGGACAATGCTCTTAGACACAGGGTGGGATTCTTGGGGTTTTCCTGTGCAGGGCCAGAAGCTGGACTTCAGTGATCCTTGTGAGTCTCTTCCAATTCAGGTTATCCTGTGAATCTGTAAAGTGATTCTTGGTGTGTGGTCAGTGGATAGGAACAGTAATTATTGCTGGTTGACAATTAAAAGGTGAATTCTGCCTTCTTGTCCTCACTAGGTGCTTTTAACCCAGTTTTATCACTGCACATTGCCTGGGGCAGTGGGATGTTCACCGTGACTGTGACTGCTCTGTACCTGTGAAATTGCCTGGCAAAGGCATTACAGTAAATGCCTTTGGATGTTGGATAAAAGAGCCCATGTTCATCTTTGAATGCTGCTACATATCTGAGTAAAAACAATGTTATGGAAAACTTGGCTGCTGGAAGCAGGATTCCCCTCTGATCTCTGCAGGTCCTTCAGCCTTATGTCCTTCCACAGCCCATGCCATTCTCGTGCTGGGCTCTAAACTCTGAATCCTCTCCCCTTACCTTGCTGCTTTCTGGGTGCTCATCTGTGTCTTTAATACTCAGGGTGGATGTACTTGTGCTGGGTCAATGTTTACAATTATTAACTAAAGAAATTACTGTAGTGGTTTCCCTTGTGCCGTTGGTTCCCACCTCTGAAACTTCAGCTTTCCTTTGATTTCTCTCTGCTCTGAGTTTCAGGCATCATCACCTTTCGGAGGATTCCTCCACAAAGTTGTATCTGAGTTCTTGAGACATTTCTGTATCCCTTTTGTATTGTTGGAGTGCTTTTTTGTGGTGGAATGAACTACAGGTGTCCTGAACCATGAAAATCTAATATACTGTTGGCAGAAGGTAGCTTTGCTACAACACAGCATTTGTGCACAAGGTTTTCCCACTGGTATGCTCAGGACTTGCTACTCACATGGTCTACAGTGACTCATGTTTTGGGTATGCCCTGCTCCAAGATACATGTACAAATCCTGTCCTGGAATTCTCATTTAATTAAAAGTTAATAAGCAGAGTTCATAATTCTCCAATGAATGCTGTGTGGCAATGATCTGGTCTTGCTGGCTTAGAGCTCACAGGTCTCTCCACCCTTCCCTCCAGGTGAACCAGCGCAACGTCCCGGGGATTGACAGTGCCTACCTGGCCATGGATACAGAGGAAGGGGTGGAAGTTGTTTGGAATGAAGTTCAGTTTTCTGAGCGGAAGAACTTTAAGCTTCAGGAAGTAAGTTGATTTCTTTCCCAACAGGATATGAAAAACATTCCTTGCCCTGTGGTGGGATTATGGATACTGCATGTGATACTTTTGTGTGGATTATTGGCTGGGTTTGGATTATTGGCTGGGTTTGGAATGCTGTGCTGTCCAAATGGATCAAATTTGGCTTAAGCCTGGCCTGTATAGGAAATGTCCTGGGAGACTCTTGTGCTATTTCCATGAGCCATTGTGTTCATTTATTTGATTTGATTTGGCAATCAAGCCACACTCTGCTGAGATGCAGTGCAGAAGAAAATGGGATGCTGTCTGTTCTTAGTATAGGGGCTTGACATATGTGTTGGTGTTTGAGGGGACCAAGACCCAAGAAGAATGAAGGATATAGGTTGGTGTGGTCTCTGATGTGACATGTCTTTGTCTTTCCTATGTTAAGGAAAAAGTTAAAGCAGTGTTTGACAACTTAATTCAGCTGGATCATCTCAACATTGTGAAGTTCCACAAATACTGGGCTGATGTGAAAGAGAACAAGGCCAGGGTAAGTGTAGCCATCAGGCTGTTGTGTTCTCATTGTGTGTTGTCAGTTAATGAGCAAGGTGGAGGGTAATGTGTCATACTGCCCCACAGGTGATCTTCATCACTGAGTACATGTCTTCAGGGAGCTTGAAACAGTTCCTGAAGAAGACAAAGAAAAACCACAAAACTATGAATGAGAAGGTAATTCTTTTTTCCTGTATGACCAGAATTCTTTAGAGCCATCAGCCCCTGGAAAGCCCTTTCAGCAGAGGATCCCAATGAGAACTGGTGATAACATATTGCTGCAATTCCCCTGTGTCCCTGTAACCTAGTTCAGCTGCAGGTTCTCTGGGACAGCAGTTCTGTGCTGGTTGCTTTACTGCCAGCAGCTCTGCAGCTTCTTAGATGTGGTGTGACAGATACATCCCTCTGCAGGGACCCTCCCAAGAAAGGGGGAATGTGCACAGGAGACTCTGGAGGACAGGTGTGTTTCTGGATCCATGGGAATATGTAGAGACAAGCTGACCATAAGAGTACTGATTCTTTACACCTTCACTGAATAAAAGCTGGAGTGTATATTGCTTCCTACAAGTGGGCTATGAATCACAGAACTAAAGATGAGCTCCTTGTGTGTGATTTTTATCCTTTTCCTCTTGTGTCTGCAGGCATGGAAGCGGTGGTGTACCCAGATCCTCTCTGCTCTCAGGTGCGTGGGGTGCTGACCTTGAGATCCCAGCAATTGGGACTGATGTGCCTGTGGGCATGGCAGTTAAGTGTCAGGGAGCTCTCCAGAGTATCCAGCTTTGTGACCTGAGTTTGTCCATGATCAGGAGGATGTTGGAAAGATGACTGGGAAATCAAGTTCCATGTGAGAGGACTGAGTTGTGTTGGCATGTGACTGACATAGTGTTGGCAGGCTGCAGGCCGTGGATTCATGGACATTGAGGCATGGTGTTGTTAGATATGTGTGTACATTTCTTGATGATGCAGCTCTTCTGCAGCCATTTTAGTGCAATACAGCTGAGTAGAATGTGTTTTGGGTTTCAAAAACTCTTTTCCATCTGAACTAGAGTTGGTGAGTAGCTAATTAGAACCTTAGAAAAACAATAGCCTAGATGACAGGCTATTGCCTTTCTCTATGGCTTGCACTCCATAGAGTGCAAAACTCTGGTGCCACTTGGCTAAATTACAGCTATTGGTGAATAGTTTGGGTTCTAATAAGCTTCTGGGAGCTGACAGTCCTCATTTGTGCTAGCTGCTAACAGAGCTATATTGCTATAGCATTGTGCTAGCAGAGTGAGATGCAAAACCAGAGTGTACCTGGGACCCAGCACTGAAAACCTTTGTGTCTGCTGGCAAACATGCCCAGTTGTGTGTGTATAGCATTTAGTGCCTCTTGGTCCCCTTTGAGTAGCGACAGAATAAGGCTCTGGTATTTTTGGTATAAAATTGTAACCCTTTTAGAATCCATTCAGCAGTACTGGGTTGGATGAAATTGTGTCTTTACCTCTGGTACTCTGAGTTTCTTGGGAACTGATAGGAGAAAGCTTTCTCTTCCCTTCCTCCCCACATGTTCTGGAGATTCATTAGAGACAATTCCTATTTGTTCCTGGTTCTCAGCTAGCAGCTAGTGTGCAGTCACTGAATTGTATCTCCCAGCTGCTGTAAATCCCTGGCATGTGCTCTTTGCTCTCTTGTTCTCTTCTGATGTTGCTTGACATGTGAAGGGGTGAAGGGAGGGATTCAAGGTCTTGACCAGTCCTCTGTTCTGCGTTTTCAGCTACCTCCACTCCTGTGATCCTCCCATCATCCATGGCAACCTGACCTGTGACACCATCTTCATCCAGCACAACGGACTGATCAAAATCGGGTCAGGTAATGCTTTCTGGGGGTGCCCCTGCCTGTCAGACAGACTGCCCAAACAGAAAAAGGCATCTACTCCTTTCCAGGTTCCCTAGCATCATAGGCATGTGTGTACATGTGCTTCTCCACCTCCACATCAGATGTGCTGGGAGCAGAATTCACTGGTGAATTGTCAGGTTCAGGAAAGACTGATACTGGGTACTGTTTGCCTTTCAGACTCTTCTTTAGCTTTTTGTCTCAAGGGGATGATACAGGAAATGATGCTGGCACTTGGAAGTTTTGTAGGCACATAATCTGTGGGTTCATCTGCTGTGCAGGTTTTCATGTCAATACACAGAGTTTTCCTCCCAGCACTGTGGAGCTTTGGGAGCTGCCTGGGGAGCTGTGTCCATGAAGCCACAAGAGTGCTGCTTGTAGCAACCCACATTTATAGTGAAGTGGGCAGACTCTGACTGCAGTGAGCGGCTTGTCGTGACATCCTTATCCAGCATCTCTCCCATGGGCCTGCCTTCAGGCTGCTGAGCTGGTCTGGGCCTGTTTGGCACAGACATACCCTGCTTGGGCAGCCACCCTGTGCCAGAGCAGTTTATTTCATAAGTAAGCAGTGATGTTCCTGGCAGTGCAGAGCATCCTTGCATGATCTGTTTTTTCCTGCTATTCCAATGTCTCTAAAAATCTGTCTGCAGTCAGGATGCATTGTGTCACACCTTGACATGACCTTTCAAGGGACAGCTTTGCTACCTGTTGTTCAACTTCTGCAAGTATTCTCGATATGAGGAATAGGTCTTTGCTTTCCTGGAGCTAATGTCTGTGTGAGTTCTGCTTTGATGTGGCAGTATACAGGGAAAGATGCTCTGCATCACCTGTCATCCAGAAATAGCCTCTCCATCAGTTGCAGACCCATGGCTTTTCTTCCCATCAAAGAAATCCTATGCTGTTGTTTTGTTCCAGAACTGGGGTAGCAGATTTATGTTTGTACCAGGGAGACAGGGTCATGGTGGAAGGAGCACTCTGCACCTGACCTGCCTGTAATCTTGGGGGCTTGCTCTTCACACAAGCTGATGTCATCACACAGACTTTATTGTGTTTTCCTGACTTTGTCCGAGTGGGAGAGATTTTCAAGAGTGAGTACATCTAGCACCTGTATGCTGGCAAACTCCCTGGCATTCAGTTCAGACTGATGGGAAGACTTGAGTACTCAAGAAATTACCATTTTTAGTTTAGTTTCAAAGTATTGTGAAGCTGCCATCTTTCTGCAGGGCAGCCAGCGCTGTGTGTAAAACCAAACCCATGGAGCTGGCGCTGTAGCCACGGCTTTCAGCAGAGGGAGGTCCTGCAGGTCGTCAGCCCTGCCAGTCCCAGAGCATGCAAGTCCAGTGGTGCTGTTCAGAGGCTGTGTAGAAGGAAGGTGGCTCTTCATGTGTGGGGTACAAATGGTGGCCTCAGCACAGTTACACCTTTGCTCCCTTCAGTTCACAAAGCTTTGCTTCTGTCAGGTGCAGCAGGAGGGACATGGCAGTCACACACGTGTGCTCATGCCAGGAGAAGTGTGTGTCTGTGCTGTTACAGCTGCAAGATGTGTCAGTGTGACTGCACTGCAGTGCTCATGTGCAGCTGTTCCTGAGCAGGCCTCTCTGCTCCACAGCTGTGGGTTGCCTGGCTCACCTCACATTCAGAAGTGAAGTAATTTACCTAAAATATTCTGGTCCTTTCCTAAATAAAAACTAAATGAGTGCAAGTTGTCTTAAGTTCCAAGAGGAATCCTCCAGATGGGAAAGCTGTGGCTGCAGTGCAGGCTGGAATTAGAGTTGGCAGTGTTGCAGGGTATATTCCTATTCCTGCAGAGCCCACTCAATCAAAAAATGCAAAGCTAAATCCCCAGGACTGCTGGTTGTGTTGGAGCTTGAGCCTTTCTCCCTGGCACTGCTGCCTTTGGAGTGCCAGATAGGCTAGGTTTGAGTTTTGGGTCCTGGAATGAGTTACTCCTGGGTCACTGACAATGCCAGGCTCATGTTTGCTGCTTCCTGTCCTTGTTCTGTACAGCTGGCTGGTATCTGAGCACTTCCCTGTGCAGCAGGACTGTGATTTCCTTGGACTTACGGGGAACAAGGATTCAGGGCACTATGAGCTGTGCTTTGGTGCTGTCTCTGTCCCCAGTACTGTGCTGGCTGCTGCTCCCAAAGTTCCTCTCCTTGTGGCTTTGGCAAAGAGAATACTTGCTGAATGTGGGGCAAAAACCTGGCTAAGGCAGCTGCTGGTATGCACTGCAGGACATCCTGTGCCAGGAGAGCAGTGTGACATTGGAAATGTCTGATAGCGGTTCCTGTGACACATGTTCAGGTGTGGGAACAGCCCTTTGCTCCTTGATGCTCCCTCAGATGCTGGAGCATGGGCACCATCTGGACTGATCACTGTTTCTCTGTTCAGTATGTAAATCTGTGTGCTGGGGGTCAGCTGTGGAGGAAAAAGGAAGTGGGAAGGAGAAAAGATTTTGCATACTGCTTAAGTGCAAAACCCATCCATAATCCATTCGCTTGCTAACCCTTTTTTCCAGTGCCATAAAGTGCAGTTGATATATTTAAGGAGAAAAAGTTTCAAATGAAGAGAATTTGTTATGGAGGATAGGAAAGATACTTACAGCTCTTAAACTTGCCACTGGTATTCCCAGAGACTGAAATGTTCTACCTGCTTTGTGGAGCTGTGGTCAGGTGAAAGCATTCCTTGTGATAAGTCCAAGTTGTGCCCTGTGTACTCTTCACACAGCCTACGTGCAGGTGTCTGTGCTGTCTGTCAAGGGGATGTGCTGCCAGGTGTGTTCCTGAGACAGGCTACAGCTGCTCTGAGTGTGGGAAGAACAGCGTGTACGGACAGGGTGCCTGCTGCTGGTGCCTGCTTGTGTTGGCATTGTTGGGAGCTGTTCCTGGAATTCTCACTGGCAGTGTAAGAACCATTCACAGGTGGAAAGAAGTGATGTGTTTGGATTAAAAATCCTTTTGGGCGGCTCTTTGAATGCCCCAGCAGAAGGAAGGCCTTGAGCTGGGGGATCTCAGTGTCCCTGAGACATGGTGATGTATAAGCATATGCTGAGTGAGACCTTGATGGAGCACAGAGGAGGCTCTGTGGAGTGCAATGCATGTTTCACACTTGTGCCTCCAGGCATTGCTGCTGTGCGTCTCTCCTGTCTGCACCACACCTGACCTTAGACTCAGTCTGTATTTAGTTGTGTCTGCTCAGAGTCTGCCCTCAGTTCCAGGCCATGGGGTCAGGACTCTTGTGGGTGTTAGCTCTGCTCTGGCATTATGTGGCCAGGTGTGTTAAGTGTGGGTTCTCCTGCTGAGATCTGTGGCAAGAAGCTGCTGGGATATAGAGAAAGGTAATTCTCTGCTGAAGGGGTGGAGTGGGTGGAACTGTAGGACTCTCACAGAAGAACAGAATTTCCAGCTCCTTGGTCTCAGAGTCAGCCATAATCTTCTGCTTGGTCAGAGATGCCTTGTCTTCCCTGCCCAGTCTGGTTCTCAGGCAGAAACCCTGATGTTCCTTAGGTAAATTTCTTTAGAGGAGGTGGCTGGAGGCAGGGCCCAGTGCTCAGTCCTGTCCCTGTGTGCCCTGACTCTGACCCAGCTGTCTCTATGGATGTAAGTGCTTTGCTGTTCACCAACTCATTGACTTTATCTCGTTTTACTTCCCGCTCACGGGCTGCTCTGTTACAACAGTCTTTCATAGGATATTTGCTAATGGTGAGCAAACTTCTCCGCTCCTGTGATGTGACTCCACTTATGTCATGTACATGATTTTATCTCTGTGTGTATCTGTATATATATATTTATATATATATGTGTGTGTATCTATATTTGTAACACACAGACATACACACTGATCTATTTACAGTGTTCCCTTGCTATAAGGCTGTGTGTAAAACTGTTTGGCTTAGGTGCATCCTGCTTGGAGAGCTTGTGTTCTGTGCTGGGATGCAAACAGTTCCTTGTGCTCTTGGCCAGAGCCTTACAGAGAGGGAGCACTGCCCTTTGTGAAGTCTCCTGGTTGTTAGTTTTCTCCCTCTCCATGTTCTTAGCGTGTGCTAGTCCACGGGCCCTGTGCATGCTGGCTCCTGCATGTTAACAAGCCATGCCTTGTTCTGAGCTCTTCCCAGCTGAACTTCCTATGTCCATTAGGCTCTTCCCTGCCGCTGCTCTGCTGCCCTTGGCTGGGACCCAGCCCTGGACTAGCCCCCACTGTGTGCTTGGCTATCCAATCGCTTGCTTGTAGTTTGAATTCCTTAGATGTGTTGGTTTTAAGGTGAATGTTTCAGTGAATGTGTCTGGCTCCTGACGGCCAGATCCCTCGGCCCCAGATGAGTTCCTGGTTTGAAGTAAGCTTGGCTATTGATGCTTCCTCAGATAAAGCTCTGATTTTGGGGAGATCTGTGCATATGAGGAGGGAGTTGGGCTGGTGGGAGCCAGAGAAGGATTCAAGTGCTTCAATTTGTAACGCTATTGCACAGAACACCATGTTTACATTTAAAATAATTATTTATTTTATTTTTTGCCATCAGGGTTATTATGGTTAGAGTTTGTTTCTACTGAGTTGGGAACCTACCAACTATCAGCTGAAGTGGTGGAAAGGGCAAGGGCCTGACCAGATGGGCTCTGTGCCTTCCAGGTGTTGGTGGGACGACATGCTGTGCCACTCTGCATCACCAGCGGAGCAGAGGCTCCTGGAAAGCTCAGTCTGGGATCTGGTGTAGCTGAAGGGGATGGTGATGTAGTCAGGGCTTGAGTCCTGAGGAGAGCAGGTGTCCCTGGGGATGGCTGCAGGATGGCAGAGGAGCAGTGAACAGAGTGGTCCAGGAGCAAGCCCCCAGAACAGGAACCTGACTGAGCCTGGGCTCAGCCACACTGAGGGCAGCAAGGCTGAGGGCTGGCCAGCCATTTCTCCAAATTCAAGTCACTGCTGTGAGCAGAACCAAAGGCCCTGGTTCTAGAAGGACATGGGAAGCCTGAACCAGCACTCTGCAGACATAAGGAGATGCTGTGGTACCTCACCTGTGCTGGAGCAGCATCAGATGGTCTCGGAATACTGAGCTTTCCTGGATGATTCGTTGTGACCTTGTTCTGACAGTCTGTTGTACCAGGAGGTACTGTTGATAGGAGAGCTGGGGATTGTTTAAACCTTAGATCTGCAACAGTGATTTGGGTTTGAAAGCACTAAATCTAGAGGGTAAGGCTTCTGTTTCACTTGAGCATTGAGCAATTGAGGCTGTGAGTGACGTGCTTTCATAACGAATCTTATTTTAGTCATCACTCCCTTGGATTTTGTTGTTTGATCTTTAAGTGTCATGCTGGTTTCCACATTCTTAACAGACACCTGAGGTGATGTAGAGGAAATAAGACATTAGTAGGATATCTTGGATCTGGCTTTTTATTTTTTTCAGCTATGGCAGGTGTGGTTTTAAAAGGAAAATAATGGACAGTTGAAGTCATCAGACATAAAAAAATCTGCCATTAAAATGGCATCTTGACATTGATTTAGGAAGATGTAACATGAATTGAGATAGTTTAGCTTTTCTAACTGTTCAGTTTTATGTGTGAGTCAAGCACATTCTCTGCCCAGCCAAACATTTTTGGTTCCTTAGAAGCTTGACAAAACTAAGGCAGATATTTTGTAAGGTTTGTCAGTGACTACAGGTGCTGCTGGGAATGAGACTGGGCAAGGAAATAGTTTTGAGTGGAACTTTTTGTCTAGAAGGCTTCAGAAAGTCCAAGGTTGGATCAAGGCTACTTTTTTGGGGCAACTGGCTTTTTGAAAAGCTTTGTCTGCCATGGGTCTGTATTGTATGTGAAACTCTTGGTGTAAAAGCCAGTCTCCAAGTGAAAGCACTTCTCATTGGGGTTATTCTTGAGAAACTGTTGAACAAACTGGGTTGAATAGCACGAGGTTGATTTTAATTGTGATGGTACAATGCTGTAGTTGTAATGCTACGATACTGTAGCTGCTGCTGTGAATTACTAGTGGCAAAAACAGTTCCAGAGATCTGCCCTGGGTTTTTGTGTAAGCACAGAGCTTAAAGTAGGAGAAGTGAGTTGCAGACAATGGGTTCTCCCCATGTTGGAGGTTCCAGCTGCCTCCTGCTGACCACATGTTCAGAGTGTGTGTGTCTGGGGGAGGGCAGTGGGATTTTTAGTGTCCAGTTTAGTGATAAAAACTGGTGACCTTGGTGGCCTTGTTGCAAAGATTTTCCTCCTTCTATGCTGTGCCAGTAATAAACTCATGTTTATTTTGCAGAAGGTTTAAAAGCAGGCTCTTGGTCCTAGTACTTACTTTCCTAGTTCAGTGTACCCTCGGTGTGCTGCTGTGATTCACCTCATTTATGAAAACACCAGGAAACGATGATCATCTAGACTGGTTGTTGTTTTCAGTTAGACAAGATATTTTAAAAGGTTTAAATGTCTCTGTTCAGTGCTCCAGGTTATTGAACATCCATTTTCTGAGGTTGCTGTTATTTCTGTGTTTCACTGAAGGCATTGCTGCTTGTTTTGTTCAGTGCTGTTTTTTCTCTGTTTTTATGGGACTTTCCCAATGGGTATGGGGATGTGGATTATAGTCATCCAGGTGTTCATTCACCCATTCTCATATTAGCACAGCAGTTGCAGGTGTCTCCTCCTTTCAGGGCCCTTTGATTGAAGGCTTTGGGGACCTCAGCAGTTTAGGAAGCTCCTTCATGCCAGTTCTGAAAAGATACTTAAACCCAAACAAGCAAAGGCAGCCTGTGGTGTCTGAGCAGAAGGTGAGCTGTCTTCTCAAGAGGTCCCTCCCAACCTGGACAGGTTGGTGGTTTAGGTCTGGAACTGTGTGGGCCACATGGTGTTTGCACTCTGGCACCTGATTCCAAGGTTGAGCTTTGCTGTAGGTTAAACCTCCCAAGGTCCCTCTGGCATGTTGTGGAACAATAATAATCAAAGATGCGGAGTTTAAAATTTGGGAAAGTTGTGCTTGAAATTCTTGGTCCTGTGGGCCCTAATTGCATTTTAGAATGGGCATTTATATTGGTTCAGTCTCTGCTTCTGTTAAGCAGAGCTGCTCGCAGCAGAAGATGATTTTCACAGTCACGTTTCTGAGGACTTGTTTTCTAGTGTGCATCTGTCTTCTGGGAGTAGATAGATGATTCCTCCAGAGTAGCTCAGTCTGTAGCATTTCAGTGAATGTCTATTCTGGACCAATTGCATGGTCAATGATGTGAACATGTGTATCCTTTTCCTATCAACATTGCATTGCAGTTAGAAGGTGTAGCCCAAGCAGGGGTTTGCATGGTCAGTGAAACCTTCATTCTTCTGGTCTAGAATGTGGAACTTGGTTTTGGGTGCAGATTTCAGATCACCCAACACACTTTGTTAAGGGATGAAGTTGTTTGTATCATGAACTCTTCCAGATAAAGTGGCAGTAATCTCTTAAATCCCTGTTTAAGAGCCTGCATGCAGCCAGGATTGACAGGTACTAATCTTACAGCTCTTCTTTATCTGTTCTTGTTTTTCCTGCTCTGCCTTCTTCCACTTTCTGCTTCTATGTAATGGATGTGGTCAAACATGTCAACTTAGAGCTCTAAGTATGCTTTTGAAGATAAAAATACCACCTGCTGCTTCATGAGAAATGTGACACGTGTGGTCCTGTCCTTCTGTGGCTTGTTGACAGGAGTGTGTGTGGCCCCAAAAGTAGCCGATGATGTCCTGGGCTGCATTAGGCAAAATCTTGCCAGAGGAGTATGGCCCTGGCCCTCTGTGCAGTGCTTGTGCAGCCACCCTGTAGATCATGGCCCAGCGCTGGCTCCCCAGCACACGCGGGACAGGACAGGCTGGGGAGAGCCCGCCGAGCAGCCTGTGATGCTGCAGGGCTGGAGCGGCTCTGCCGGGATAAGGCTGAGGGAGCTGCAGAGCCCCGGGGATCCCTGGCTGTGACACCTCTAGGGAGGCGTCTGCAGGTGAGCCCAGCGCTCGGGGCTGCCGGGGGACAGCACCAGAGGCCACGGCACGGGCTGGACCCTAGAGGGTCTCAGAGGTTCTCAGAGTGATGGTGGCACAAGCACAGGTTGCCCAAGGCAGGGATGGAGTCTCCATTCTTGGAGTTACCCAAAAGCCATCTAGACATGGTACTGGGCAACCAGCTCTGGGTGTCCCTGCTGGAACAGGGGGGTTGGACAGGGTGACCTCCACAGGTCTCTTCCCATATGAACCATGCCATGATTTTGATTCTGCATTAATTTCTGTGGAGAATAGCTTTCTCCAGTTTTTTGTGTGACATTAACTTTCTATTGTCAGTACCGCTGACTCTGCTCCAGCAGTGTTTTCTCTGGAGGGAACCATGGGCAGTGTTTTAGCAGGTTCTTCATGCTGGGAAGCCGTGACAGTAGATGTGGCAGGAGTGCATATGTGTGTAAGTGCATGGGGAGCTTTACCTGGCACTGGGGAACGGTGGGTAGTGAGCTTTTCATACACTGAATCTATTTGCCCCTTCAGCTAATGATATTCAACTGTCAAAAATAATAAAATCCTGTTGGTTCTGGTGACTCAGTGTTGCAAACATTTTGATCTGAGGGCTGTAGGTAGCTTTTATTCTGTGATCAGCATAAATCTGACACTTCTTCCTGTTTAATGGCTGTATGCTTTTTATGCCAAATAGCTTCCTAGTTCCTTATTTTCTAGGCCTTGCTCTCCCTAATAAAAAAGATTTTCTCATCACTGTGTGCAGAGCAAGCAAACTGTGTAAGATGGTGGGTTTGTGCAGTCGTGTACCATTTTGCAGGAGTGAAAGTGTCTGGGGCATGAGTGCAGGGGATGATACTGTGGCCTCGTACCTCTCCTGGCCCTGTGGTCACCCTGTTAAAGCTGCACAGCTGGGCTTGGGTTCACTTGATAATTTTTGGGTCCCTGGTGGTACAGCAGTTAATTGTGCCATTGCTGGGCTGCACTGCAAGCCCAGGACAATCTCAGAGTTGTTGGTCCTTCTCACTGATAGCTGGTTTCCGCCTGCTTTCTGTGGGCCAGGGCGCTGAGCCCTTTGTGAGGAGTGGAGTCACGTTCTGCTTTGCTCGCGTGCACGCACCAACGCGAGCAGCTCTGGCTGCTGCAGGAGAGGCAGAGCCGTAGGAAAGGCCGTGGGGAGGACTGAGGGACAGGCAATCCTTCCTGCCCACAGAAGGGAAGTGCTGAATGCAGAGTAAAGGCGGGTGTGAGATGGACACCACACAAGAGGGACATGTCCTCTGCAGCAGGGAGTGTTCCAGAGCAGGGGGCTGGATGCTGGCAACTGCTGAACCTTCTGTGGGGACAACCAGGAAGGAATGGCACCATTGCCTCCTTGGCTGGCACTGCTGACAACCAGTGGGTGCACAGGCTGTCCACTTACTCTGGACAGCTCTTTTTGCATGTTCTTGAGGGTTTGAGAAGTCTGACCAGCTGTAGCGTGATCCGGTTGGAACGCCAGTTATCTTTTTCATGCTTTTGTTGTCAGATTGAGTTCAGCTTGTCAAAGACAGGTTGCTTCTTCTACCCTCTGCTGTACTTCAGATCTCTTGCTATCACCTGCCCTGCTCAGACACTGTATTTGGCTGAACCTTTTTCTAAAATTCATTTCTGCTAATTGCCCACCAGACTTGTCAATCCCATGGAGGTGCGTCTTGTAATCTGCCCCTTGTAGTCACCTTCTTGTGGCTGAGAAAGACACATTCGTTGTTATTGTTGGTGGTCTGACTTTGTGGTCTTCATCATTTGTCTCACTTAGCTGTCCCAGCCTTCGTCCATCCAATCATGCACAGCATGGAGCCAGTTTGAGAATATAGAAACAGGTATATAAGTGGCAGATGACAGCCATGTGTGAGTCAGGCAGGAGAGCCTGTGTCAGAGGTGACTTCAGGTGTGTGTTCTTACCTTGTACAGTCAGGAGGTTGCTTTAAAATGTAGGCTCAGGTGAAGCTCTCAAGCCCCTGTCAGTGCTAAGTGGCCTATGCATCAAGATGACGTGCAACAGCAACCAGACTAAACCCAAAGTTTCTTGTCTTACCATCTAAAATCCTGTCCCAATTGTAACAGCACTTCAGCCTGCTGTGTTGAACACACCTGCAGGAAGTTTTTCAGAGCTGACCTCAGAAGCATGTTGTGCTATCAGCGATGCATAGAGCAGAATTGTGTCTGGCAGGGCTGACCCTGCTTAGCTCTGAGACACACAGGAGATTCTGGGGTGTCTGAGATCACTGACCCTGTGCTGCCTCAGCTCTGTAATAACAGAGTGAGGTGATGCCTGTCACCTCAGCCAAGCTCCACATGGGCTGGGGTGTAAATGGCTGGAACAGGCAGGTTCCCTGCCATGTGTGGCTGATCAAACCCAGGTGCAGAGCCAATCTCTGCAACAGTGACGGAAAAACACTCCAGTGGGACTCAGCAAGTTAAGAAACACAAGGTCCAGAGTACCAGAGGGGACAGGTCCCCGGTGGAACCACAGCAGCAAATTCAGAGCTACCTAAGTGTCAGTTCTGTGTTTATGGGTTGGAGGGTCCCACAGACAGTGCGAGCCCAGCTCTTTCCAGAAGTGCTGGTGCTACTGCAGAAAGTCTGTAGGACCTGAATGCAGAGGAGCTGATTATCAAGGCTGGCTGGACCTCATTAAGGACACTTTAGATGGAGCCTGGGCTAGACTTCCACTCTACCTGCCTGTCTGGTATGCAAGTGCACCAGCCATCACCGCTGAGGTTTCTGTTGATAATATGTTCTGTGATTGATCACTGCCTCATCCCTGTCCTTAAATGGGTGCGGGAGCCAAGAACAGAGTGCCTGGGTAGTGAACTGGCCCTTGCCATCCAACACGTGGTCATAACAGGATTTAAAGACACTGGAAAATGAAGCTGATCACAACATTGTGTGGAGGGTGACTTTCCTTGGCTGATTCTGCTCCATATTTGGCAGGACCAGGTTGTTGAGTTTTTGGTCTGTGTTTCCTTTTACAATGTATTATACTGATAAAAAAAGCAGAACAAATAGAAGAGTTAAACAATAAGTTACTTTCTCTCCCTGGATTGTCTAGTTTGCCACTGGGAGTCCTCCTGACATGTCTGCAGTACCTTCAGGTTTAACAGGTATCACAAACAAATGATAGATAGTTCCTATACACTGCATTGGACACAGAGACATCCAGGATCCCATAAACAACAGTATAAATCTGATGTTAGAACAGAAGGGTTTCTGAAGCCTTAAATAGTCTCTTTAGAAGGCCTGGTATGAGAACCTAGTGTGCTGGGTGAGCCATGGGTGCTTTGTGTGCCAAGTCTGGTGCTGGATGGATGGTGGTGACGGGGTTGGGGCTGAGGGGTTGGCTCCAGAAGCACAGGAACACATCCAGTCCAGTGCAGAGGACAAACTCCAGTTGTAACTGATGTAGGAGTACAAAATACTAAGGTGAATGGAAGAGCTCATCATTTGGGTGCCGATGAGGATTGGGAATTTTCTGGCTCCTTGAGGAAGGCTTTGAGCCGCTTGTCATGTTGGGGGTGTTGAGATCCTTTGGGGTGATGGTGCACAGCCCTGCCCAGAACTTGTCTGAAGCAGTCAGTGTCACTGGGAAGATAGAACAGGTCTTAGGAGAAAAACCATAGAATGTAGCTTATGCTGCTTGGTGATGTGAAGGTGAGAGGATCTGGTGATGTCTGGGAACAGGTGAACACCAGGAAGGAAGCCATCTTGCTGGACTTTTAGGATCAGAGCTAACACAGGGAGCAGAAAGCAGTTACTTGTGAATGGTTGGTTGGTAAAGAAGCCCCTAGGTATTGGAGCAAGCTCTGCTTCCAGTGATCAGATTGGGTAATATGATTTGGTGTGTGCCATGCAGCAAGACTGAGCTGGGTTTCCAAGGGATGTCCTTCTTGTCTGACTAGAGCCCAAAGAACATCTCTCTGAAACTGTTAGCTGCTCACTCAGCTGTGAATCCTCTTAAGTGTGGAAAAATGCAAGTGGTTTGGCACGTCCCATGTCAGCCCACATTATGCCAGCACAGACAAGAACCAATTGTGATTGTCCAGGGGGGTGACCAGGTGGCACATAGGTCTGAGAATCTGGAACTGGGCACATTCCAGTGTGACAGTAGAGCTTCAAATGTTCCCTGCCCACCTCAGTGTTTCTCCCTGGCAAAGACAGCTGCTTAGTTTTGGAGAGTTGTTTGCAGTCTCTGCAGAGGTGGCTGTCCCAAGGGGTTATTTTTCATGGGGGTCCATACTTATGCTCTGCTCATTGTTCTTACGGCTGTGATTTATTTCCAAGTGGTTTGTGGAGGTGCTGGCTGCTGGGAGGTTCTGCTGTCTGGGTGGTCACCTCCCTTCCTTCAGCAGCTTGGGCTTGATTCTTGTCTGGAGGCACTAGCATCCTCCTGGAGCGTGGAAGAGTTGCCTGGTAGGTCTATCCTCCCAGAACTCTGAGATGGTCACCAATTGCAGTGACCTTGGCATCTCTGGCTGTTCCTCAGACTGCTGTTCTGAAGGAGCTGCTTGTGACAAATGCTACAGATCTGATTGAAGTTAGGCATTTCAACTGGGAGTTGTTCCCACCTTGTCTTCCCAGTAGGCAGCAGTTGTGGTCTCCAGGTTTGCCCTTGGAGACTGATGCTGAGCTGCCAAGGAAACAATTGCAGGAATGTATCAGGTCGGGGCAGGTGTCAAAGATGAAGGCTGTGAAGACTTGCCTTAACACAACCATTCTGCCCTTTTGGGCAGCAAGGGCCTGGAGTTGCAGGTGTTCCCTGGGATTTCATCAGGGATGGGCTATGGTTTTCTGTATCCTAAGCATTCCTGGTTTTCTTCTAGTGGCACCAGACACAATTAACAACCACGTGAAGACCTGTCGTGAGGAGCAGAAGAACCTGCACTTCTTTGCCCCGGAATATGGAGGTATGGTGTGACTGTGCTGCATGTCTGGGTTTTTTTTTGGCCTTACTGATGCTTCCAAGCTGTTCTCAGTTCCAGGCTCCTGAAAGATGCCACATTAACAGTTCTGAGCCATTTGCCTGCTGAAGTGCTTCAGCTCCAATGTTGTTTGGTAGCAGAGGAGGGAGAAGCTGCAGGACTGTCCCAGCCTGGTGCAGAGTGCTGCTGCTGCATGCAGAGCTGACTGATAACAATGCTATTTCTGTCTTACAGAAGTTGCCAATGTCACCACTGCTGTGGACATCTACTCCTTTGGGATGTGTGCACTGGAGGTAGGCACTGAACATGGATTGTGGGACAGAGATGATGAATCTGAGGAAAGAGATACGAGGAAAGGCTGTGGCTGTGGGTGGGTTTGCTCGTGACGAGTGTTTTTTGTTCTCAGAGCCAAGTGCACTTTGCCTTGGGGGGTCCCTATGGAGGCTCCCCCAAGTGCCTCACTAAGATGTAAATGGCTTAGTGATTTGCAGTTCTCCCCAAAATTCCTAACGGGTAATGGATTACTTAGCGGGTCTTGGCCAGTCCTGAAGTCAGACTCACTGGCTGGAGGGAATAGTCGCTGCTGCCAGCTGTTATGTAATGTCCATGTATGTGAGCAATGCCTGGGGTGGTGTTTGAAGCAGAGGACAGCTGTTGTCTGTCACTTTCTTTGGGCCAGCCTGTGCCCATCTGACAGAGGTGCTGGTTGCAGTCGATGTGAGTCTGACATACCTGGTCGTAGCAGCTTTGTGCTTCCCCTGTCCTTGCAGTCAGTAGGTCCAAGTCCAGGTAATGGGAGTTATTGTTAGGAGTATTTTCTGAGAAGAATTGTCAGAAAGAGCCAACACAAGGAACCCGCAACCTGTGCTGCACATTCCATTAGTGAAACTGGAAGAGAACTGTGGAAAGATGCAACTTTTAGGAAACAAAACTTAAGCTGAATGTAGAGACATTCTCTGCAATATTTTCCTGCCTTTCCTAGCTGGGAATTAGTGTCTGTGTAGTTGTGGAGCCCATTCTTGATGTGCTGTGTGCTTGCTCTTGTTTTGCGATGCAGAGCCAGAAGGGACACTGCCAGATCCTGGCAGGGATCCAGTAACTGCTTTATTATTTATTATTATATCAAACAGAATAACAGGCCAATGGATCATGAGGTTCAAAATGGAGACACTTACTGTCCAGGTTGCTGCTGGCAGAGCAGGGCTCCCTGGCAGTCTTGGGGTACTAGGAGCAAGCTGTTGTAATGAGGCAGCCATTCTCTCTGTCTCTCCAAATGTGACCTTAAGTACCCCCAAACAGCTTGGCTCTGGTGATCTCATGCTTGGCAGTGGTCTCCTTGAGCCTATGTCCCATGCAGTCTGCCGTTCCCAGTGGAGTCTGATGCTCTGCTCTCTGTTTGCAGATGGCGGTGCTGGAGATCCAGGGGAACGGGGAGTCATCCTACGTGCCGCAGGAGGCCATCAACAGTGCCATCCAGCTGCTGGAGGACCCCCTGCAGCGGGTGAGCCAGGGGGATTGGTGCCCTGAATTGCTCTGGTGCCATTGCTTGTTGTTTCATGCAGGTTTTGTTTCTAGGAGTTCATTCAGAAGTGTCTAGAACAGGACCCTGGCAGGCGTCCCACGGCCCGGGAGCTCCTGTTCCACCAGGCGCTGTTTGAGGTGCCATCGCTGAAGCTGTTGGCTGCTCACTGCATCGTTGGGCACCAGCGTGAGTATAGAGCTCTGGGAGCCACATCCCCACATGGGTCAGTGCTCTGCAGAGCTTTGCTGAGCTGTCAGTGCTCACCCCAGGGAGCTGGTACCCTGGGAACACCCCTCCCCATCCCCCTGCTGCTCTGTAGGATACCTGGCTGTCGGACGCGGCTGTGGGGCTGGGAGGGCCACGGTTCCTGACCTGCTCTGAGAGCATCAGACCTCTGCACTTTTCATTGCTTTTCTAAGGCTGGAGAGGAACTGCAATTGCTCTAAGTAACTCCTTTTTTAAAAATAGATATGATTCCTGAAAATGCTTTAGAAGAAATGACCAAAAACCTCGACATGAATGCAGTGTTGGCAGAGATCAATCACGAGGACAGGGAAGGAGTCAAGATGATGTAAGTCCCCGTGGTATGCTCAGGGGAGCAGTGCTGGGGTACTGGTGTAAGCACTGGGATTCTGCCCATCACCTCAGTGCTGGTGTTTCCCCACTGACTGGGTGCCAGTGGGAGCTGCTGGAGCTGGAGGTGAAGGAGCAATCACTGACTGGGCACACACACTTCCTGGGTGGAAGGAGATCTTGCACCTGTTTCCTGGGAGCATATTCTGTGCAGCTGAGGTGAATTGTTCCCCAAATGGACGGACAAAATGAGCACACTGTAGCTGGAGCAGTGCCCAGCAAAACATGGCTGACCAGTTTGGGGAGGTGCTCTGACCAATCACAGACTGGCCAGATGGAGTCCAGCACTTGAGAGAAAGGGTTCCTCAATGTTTTCCTAATGGAGCATCTTATTCCATGCTATGCACAGGGAAAGGCAGTGGAGGCAGCTGTCAGTGACACACAGCACTATTTACACTCTAGGGGTGGCTCCCTAAGGGAATGGCTGTAATACATAGGGAGCAAGTAGAGTGCCAAAAAAGTGATGTACATTTTGGATAACAAAGCCTTGGCTAGTCAAGGGATTAGCTGAAGACTAAGGTGTGAATCCTGTATTCCCAGGGAAGCCTAGGGTGCTTCTGGGGGAGCCCAGAGTTCTGGAGTGCTCAGGCTGCTGAACAAGAGTAGTAACCAAGGTGACAAGCGAGAACAGCTCCGTCCATGTAAGCAGCTCTCTGAGCCAGAGACCCATCCAAAAGCTGATGTTCCAGCTGTCATAGTGCTAGGAAATAGTAGTATGAAATTCTCTTTGGAATGGTTTTGATATAGTTTCAAAATGTAGAAGAGTAAGTGAACAGCCAAAGCTGTGCAAGAGAGATCCTTACATTCATGGGATGTCAGCGTCTGTGGGCTTGGCTGGCTGCGGGTGCCAGGCTGGAATTTGCTTCTTGTAGTGTCGTACCTCAGAGGTGCTGGAAAAGGAAAAGAAAGCAGCAATGACTTGAAATGTCAGCATAATTTCTGGATGGTTCTTGGACTGCCATGCTAGAAAAAAATTGTAAATTTTTGTTGAAAACTACTGCTGTGTTAGAGGAGGGGGTGATCCCAGCTGCTGGGGGTGTGGGAGGGGCTGGAGAGTGCTCTGGGAGCTGAGGCAGGTGTGCAGCCAATAAAGCACTTGTGAATATCCTGTCAGGCTTCTAGTGGCTTTACAGTCCTTACCTCATCTCTGGAATGCTTCAGAGCAGCCTTGAGACAGGGGTTTGGCTGTTCCAAGTGCTTGTTGCAACCAGGGACCTGTTTGTGAAACAGCTCACCAGGAGCAGTGTAATTGTGCCACCCTCCAAATAACTGCAGTGCACAGTTCTGAAGGATGTGAGACTGGCTGTGCCTTAACTGCTGCCTCATCCTTAGCTCCTATAGATAGTTATTTCCTTAAGGGAAGATGAGAGCTTGTCACATCAATGGCTGACTGTCCACACCCATCCTACCTGTGGACACAGCCCAGGACGTGGGGATTGGAAACTCCACCCCAAGAGACCCAGGTGGATGGTACTGTGAGATGATTTCTTATCTCAGGACATTTTCTTTTCCAGCTTCTCACAGTCTCCTGCACTGGAGCTGGACAAGTTCCTGGAGGATGTGAGGTAAGAGGGTTTTTTTAAAAAGACAACTTCGTGGTATGTGAGACTGCAAAAATTTTGGAGAGGTATAACCTCAGACGCTGCTCCTTCCTTGCAGGAATGGAATCTATCCCCTCACAGCTTTTGGGATGCCACGACCCCAGCAGCCCCAGCAAGTTGTGGTGAAATCTCCCATTGCTCCCCCATCAGTGAAAACCCCAACTCCAGAGCCTGCTGAGGTGGAGACCCGCAAGGTAAATGCCAGGGGCTCTGCCTCGTGCTCCCGTTGCCAGGCAGGGATGTGAAGCAGCTGCTCATGGGGTCTGTGCCTCTGTTCCAGGTGGTGCTGATGCAGTGCAACATCGAGTCCGTGGAGGAGGGGGTGAAGCACCACGTACGTTTCTACAGCTGGCTGAGCTGGGGGAGGCTGGGGCAGGGCTCATGGCTCTGATGTGCTGCTGGTGCCTGGGGTAACCCTGCACTGCTGCAGCTGCCACTGTCAGGACCCAGAGCCTGACCCAGGCCTGTGCCTGCTGGTGACCTGGCACCTGGGCCCACTCTCAGGTCCTGGCTTCCAGCACAGGATGGTGCTGCCAGCTGCAGTTCAGGATGGAACTGGCTGTGGCTGTTCATTAGATCCCTGTGGGGCTCTGGAGGAGTAGTTCCCATACCAGGGGGCATTTCTAGGGTTGCTTTGGGCTTGCCATGGCAGCCCGCAGGACTGCAATCCCTCATGAGAATTTCTTTGCCCTGCAGCTGACACTGCTGCTGAAACTGGAAGACAAGTTGAATCGACACTTGAGCTGTGACCTGCAGCCCAGTAAGTACCTTCTGCCCCGGCCCAGGTGCACTGGGGCCAGCAGCACACTTGGACCAAGGACTGACACCTTTCCTTGTCTTGCAGATGACAACATCCAGGAGCTGGCAGCTGAACTGGTCCAGCTTGGATTTATCAGCGAGGTAAGTAAGCAGGGTCTCAGGCTATAGGCCTGTGTTCCTTTCTCAGCCCTTTTCATGGGGAGGAGGCAGGAGGAATAAACCAGGTCCCTGCCCTGGGGGAGTGCATGGGGCTTACCCCTCACTGTCCTTGTTGTCCCCAGGCTGACCAGAGCAGACTCACCTGTTTACTTGAAGAGGCATTTAGCAAGTTCTACTACACTCGGAATGGAGCCCTGACGGCCGTGACTGTGTCATCTTAGCCCTGTGGCTGCTGGGTGGCCAGCATGGCCTCGCTGCCTGCGGCCCATCTGTGTGTGCCCACACCATCGGGCATCCACGAGACCCCAGCTGCAGTGCTCGGAAGCTCATCCTGCATGTGCCGTGGCTGGGCTCATTGACAGTCCTCCCTGCCCGCCTCCTAAAGGGGACTTTGCGCATCAGTATTATTTCCAGCCCTGTTTTTGTTGGGATTTGCCAGGTTGTGCTGCGGAGCTGAGGCCTGGCTTGGGGTGTTCTGTAGCCCCACTCATGTGCATGGAGTTTGTTCTGTTTGAATTGTACAAAGTGTCTTTTGCACAGCACAGAAATGTTTTTTGGTTTTTTTCTTTTTTTTCATTTTCTTTTTTTTAATTTTTTTTTTTTTTTTTTTTTTTTTTTAAATTTTATTTAAAGGTAAACTGGGGTGAGCCCCTAAGCCCTGCACCCCCCGGTCACT